GGGTGCTGGCACAATTGCCAATTGTTGGACTGACGGTGGCCAGTTGGAAAATGTTAACATATTGCCGAACCCTAAGCAGTGCAAAACATCACAGCAATTACTTCCACCAAAGTCAAGACAAACACAAATCTCATCATAGGGATACAGAACTAAAATATCATAACTGTGCGTATTAAAAGTAAATCTGAATTTGTAACTATTTGTCTTTGTCCTACAAAACAAGATGAACCACTCTGTCTCCATGTTGTATGATGAAGCAAGAAGTGTCCATTCACATATTTGTTACTAGTTCTAATTGTTCTTTCAAACACACACACACACACACACACACACGTTGTTCAGCTGCTCACACCTCTTCCGTCTTTCAGCTCATTGTCTATCACTTCTATTTGCTGCTCCTTCTCTCCTTAGATTTGCTCCCTAAAGGTCTTGAGGATGATGGCCATGAATATTTCACTAAACTGCATTCTCAGGTTATCAATAATAAAATGCCATATTCTTATAAATATTCTAAAAATACAGCCGGACTCTGCCTCTCTTCAGTGGTGCATTAAAAATTCATACCCATCTAAAAAACTGCTAACTCTCCCCCCATAGCACACCCATATGTACATGACTGCTGGGCTTACGTGCAGGTGTTTTCTTCTCACTTTTGTGTTTTTTTTGTGTGTGTGTGCATGTATTTCTAACACATCTTAAGCTTCTGTAACACACTGTCTTGGAGAAGCAGTCCATTTCAGTGAAAGCTAGAAAAAGTGCTAAGAGAGGTGATTCACATTGTCAACAGTCTGAATCACCACAGCCAAATACTAAAGCACTCTAACATTGCAGGCAGTTAAACATACACACGCTATCCCCAGCCCAGACATACACTCTTATAAACACATCTTGTATACTAAAATACTGTCTCCACCTCTCTCTACACAAATGCACTCTGTTTGTCTCTCTCTCTCTTTCTCACACACACACACACACACACACACACACACACACACACACACACACACACGCTCCATTTCTCTCCCTCACCGTGGTGAGATGTCGCAGCCCTGTTGCATGAAAGCTCCCAGTGAGAACCAGAGGGAGTTGAAGATGCCAAACTCATTGGGAGGTTGGTCAGTGGGACCCAGCTCTGTTGTTCCCTCCTCTGGTTCCTCTGCATGCCACTCGTACGGGCTAAAGCGACTCACCTGAGACAGTGAAGGAAAAATAAGTGTTATAGATCATTTAGATGTCTGTAAAGGAAAGACAGGCCGGAGCAGGTCATCACAAAAAATTAAAATGCATTTAAGTTGTTATTCTAATACAGGCCGGAGCAAATGAGCAGAGGGAGAAATATGGGGGAGAAATAATGTCATAACAGCTAAGTAACACATTCAAAACCATGGAGGGTAAATGTCTTATGACTGTTGTGGAAGAGAGCAAAACCTTGAATATGCAGACGCTCTGGTGTCAGAGGAGTTATGCCAACCTGATCTTGTGAACTTGCATGTCTTAAATATCTCACATTAAGTTTTTGCATATCTTGCATACAGAGCTGTCTGAGATGTTATTCCTGTCCAATAGGACAACTTTAAGAGAGCTTTCTTTAACAGTGTAAAATACACTAGAGTGAGGTAAAGGCAATGTTGCCATACTTTTTAGGGATTTTAATAATCCTTAAAACATATATACAGTTTATACTTTAGTCTAATCTCCTCTATATATATTATACCTGATCAGCTGGAAATGTATCCTATAGACAGGGTACCATGTGATATATCCCATGAGTTGAGAAATATCTTTAGCCTGTGAGCCAAATAATAATAATTCTTTCATCACTAAACCCCAAGCCTTTAAAAACTCTTCAATCCCTGCCATCCAACTCAAGTGCTGAGTTCTAGTTTTTAACAATCACTTACCAAAAACAGCACAACACTGACTCCAATGTAAGCGAACACTATGCACATCCAGATCTCATAGGCCAGTGGGTCCAGAAAAGAGAAAACACCCGGTTTCGACTTCTGGGGCTTCTTGATCATGATGGAGATTCCCAGAGACATGAAGGGCTTTGAGAAGTCGATCACCTCTTCTCTCACCAGAGTGATGGTCAGTGGGGCCACGGCAATTTCTGCTTTCTGGAGAGAAAAGTATATGTTTAGTTTAGTTTACGCATATGGTAGTGCAGTTAATTTGCAGCAACTTCATGTAGAACAAGTGAGTGATGATGAGCAGGAACTGCCTGTGAACTCTTTTGTCTGCAAACAGAAAATGTCTGAGGCCAAAGATAAATAGAGAAATAACATTTGAAACAGTACGGGCTGGTAAAGTAGACAAGCGCAGTAAAGGATTGCTGCAGTTTGAAGCAGGAGCAACGTAAGGAAGGGAATGAAAGAAATAAACGGGGAGAAAAAAGGGGGAAGAGAGAAGCGTTGAAAGAGACAGAGGAGGTAGAGGGAAAACCATCAGAATGACAGAGAAGTAATTCATACATGGGCATGAAAGTGACACTGCCAGAATTTAAATTAGTCTGCAAGGTCTACACACACATTTGCATGAGTGCCTACACACACACACGCACAATCTGTAGAAGAGTCTAAAATATCATTCATTCAGCACACTATCTGTGTCTAAACAACATCTGCAGTCTTAACTTAAAAAGAGGCTACAATAACAGCATATCAAATAACAAGTGTTACAATGCAAGGAGAATAAAGAGCAAAACAAAGACAAGGAAGACAGAAGTAATATGGAAAGAAAGCAAGGGAGAAGGGGGCATAGGAATATAAAACTCACAACGCACTACAGAAAGGACGATTAAATAAACTGAAGATAGAAAACAGGAGACAAAAGTAACAAAGATAAACTGAGAGTAAATGCCATATATAAAACGAAGCAGGACAAAGTCTTGAAATCTTACGAATGTCTTTTCTCTGAGTGGCAGAAGAGTCATCAGAAAGGACGGTGAGTGTTTGGAACAAATCAAACGTGAAAAGTCAATGCAGCGGTTCTGCTGTGTCACCTACCACTACACGGATCCTGGAGGCTAATTAATTCTGTCGCTGTTCTGCAGCAACGTCTCCACTTTCACTCTTCCGCAAAGTGACGACTGACATTGTCTTCTGCATGTTGTTAAAGTTTGCGTTGAGACAGCAATGCGAAATATCAGACCGTGCATGGGCGTCAATGGCATAATTAGCCAGCTTGCCAAGTTCTCAAGAAGTAAGTGAACCCTTCCAGACACGGTGTCTCTGCAGGGAACTGACATGGTAACTAAGGAGACGCAGAGCTACAGACAAGTTTATGGACTCCATAAGAGTTATTTTGAGCATTTCTCAGCTATTTGCATGATAGCCTGCAGTGGGGTCAGACTAGCAGGAGCACATATAATGCAATGTAATCACCCTGCAGTGTATATGATCTCTATAAAGTTACACTGTTCAAGTAATGTTGAAGCTGTTGATTCAACACAATTTTTTTATAGCCATAATCTGTGATGTACTGGATTGCATTGCAGTATACTGTAAACTGAAGATGTTTTATTCTCCTACCCTGTGTATTTGGTAATCAAATAATTGCTTGATTGAATCTATTTTTTTTGTGTGCTATGGTCCTCTTCCTACTGTCACTGGCTGGGTAAGCAATCATGTTAATGTTGTATAAACATTCGTACCTGTATATTTGGGCTTCTGCATGTGCGTCTGCTCATACATGCAAGGTCTCATAGTTATGTTTCTAAAGACTGGAGTGTATTTTAACCTGTAAAGTTTGCCGACTCTTTGGGTGATGTAAAGTATAAATGACCTGAAGCTGAAGTTAAACTGAATATACTGAATAAACAAACAATTTGAAGACATCATCTGGACATCAGAGAGCTTGTGAAGGACATTTTCCACTGTTCTCTGGCAATAGATAGGCTAAACAGTGAAACAATTCATTATAGAAATAACTGACAAAATCATCATTAAAGTCCAAATATTGTCCATCCAAACTTACCCCATACACAAGCTCTCCAACCATGCCATTCCATATCTTCGTCTCTGGATCTCTGGCTCCATATTTCCCATCCGGTACAATGGAGATCTTGTATTTAATTCCGATGTGTTTGGCAATCTCTGAGGCTAAGTCCACACAGTATCCCTCAAACTGGTCGTTGCCTTCATAAAGTTCCCAGTTCTTCTTCAGCATCACATAGGGACCCTCCTATAAAACCAGCATAAGGGGAGAAAGACACAGCTGTTTGGAGGAACATGACAGCAGCTATTATTAAAAGAAGGAAAATGAAAACTTGTGAAAAAGAGCCAGCTCTTTGGTTGGTAACATTGTACCAAGGAAAAACCCATATTACAAAGAAAAATGAAACCAATTAAAATTATTCTAATTCATTCTATTCTATATACATTTTCAAAAGAAGCATACATTACTTTTTATCATACACAAAGGGATACAGCTCTATGAAATACACCAATACATGTTGGACACCAGCCTCTGTGAAGGCAAACCTTAGATCGTGACATTAAAATTCTGACATCAGTATAAGAGACTGATTTAACCTTACATGTAGGACAGTGAAGGGAAACTAAAAGTCACATATTTTTGTGTAGATAACATTTTAAAGGAGATAAACATCCCACAGCCACCCAAAACTTGATGGAAACAGTTGCTGAGTTTATATAACAGGAAAAATATCAGAGTCGTTTTAAAAAAGCCTTGTCTGAGGTAGATGTTTTATATCTTTCTGACTTCTAGTTCCTTGTTTTATTCTTTTGTCTGACTCTACATGCCTCCACTGGGACCTGCACCTGACTCAGTACAACACCAATGCTGAGAGGAGAAAAATGGGAGGAAAACACAGGGAGAGAGACGAAAAAGAAAGGAACACTGCTGCTTTGGTAATGTGCCGTAAGAGGTAGAATGATTTCTGTGCATGCAGTTAACAAAGATGAAAGCAAACAGAGAGTTTAATGTTGGTGGGTGCATTAGCAATAACACACAAACACAAGCATGGTCACAGAGAAGCACACATTACCACACCTGCACAGGATAACCACAGAGAAAAGAAAGGCACACAGACTTTTGAGTGACAGCGCATCCATCAGGAGCAGTGAGTTATGGTATTATGCCTGAGGCTGCTCACCCTGTAATCCGGCTGAAACCAAGCCAATTAAAATGCTATCAAACCCTTTTTAATCAAAGACTAATCTCATCTAATTAATCAAACAGGCTTTTATAATATCCAACACTCCCAAGCTATGAAACGATTTATGAGGATCATAAAACACAATACAAAATGATAACATATTTTGGATTGAATTCTTCATTCAGGAAATTGATTCACATTGAAAACAAGTACAGTTTAATCAAAGAGGATTGTTGACGGACATGTTTTGAAAGGGGTTAAATGAGCAATAAAATCACTCACATACAGATTTGGAGGGAATCGACAGAGCAATCTTCAAATCCAGGAAATTGAAATACATTGAAAGCTAGTTTAGATCATAGGCAGGCAGAAAGTGGGATTTAAAAAAAGATCTTAGAGTGGAAACTGAACTATACAAAGAAAACCTACAAAGGGAAGCTGGATTTATACATTGATTCTCTTTAGCTTCAGTAAACAGAGAGCTGGAAATAAATTCCTTGCGTATTTGCATATGACTGAAAGGTAATATAGACAGAAATGCTCTTTTTTAATATGGTTATTCAATGGGCTTACATTTATCCAGATGTAAAAATGATCCATTCTTGTAGAAGTGCTCTTACTTATGTTAAGTAGTTGTCCAGTATTTTTATTAATAACTATGTACCTAAACTAACAACATTTTCAACACACATTACACATCAACATGCTATCATCGTCATTTTGAGCATGTTAGCATGCTGATCTGAGCATTTAGCTCAAAGCACTGCTGTGCCAAAGTACAGCCTCAAAGAGCCGCTAGCCTGGCTGTAGATCCTTCCTGTTTCTAAATCCAGAGAGATATCATTATCAAATGGTTTGTAAGCACTGTAAAGTATTTAGCCACAGTTCCAGCAGTTGTCACACAATATATTAGGGATAAAAGGTGAGAATCACACATTAAGAAAGAAAGAAAAAAAAAAAAAAAATACCCCAAGTATCGCATTATCACATTTCTTACAAACCATTATTCAGTCATCAGTATTTGTGACAACAAAATACATTTCTTCCAAAACCAACCACGGATATGGAAATTCAGTTCTTAATTTATGCTAAACACTTTACTCTTTTATCACCAACATCATCCCCATCATCGAATACAACAATGGTCCCTGTTATGTTCAATGTCAGAACATACAAAAACATTTCTCCTAAAATGTCATTATTGGGAACATTAGCAGGTCCCGGGGCTCTCATTCCATTGACTCAACATGAATCATAATGTTAATGAACAGCAATAGATCCTCTAATCCTCTAATAGATCAACACCGCCACGAGGACTGCTCTATAGCAGGGATACAGACAAGAGGAAATGAAGATGTGAGCTGAAAACCATGTTTTAAAGGACACCAATGTTGTAACCTAATTACCGTTTACATCTAATTTACATCAACATTTCTAAAGTTTTGAAATCCCAAGTTTGACAGTTTTCGACCTGGCATGACATTGACTTCCCACCGAATAGTTTGTGAGGAAACTTGTATAAAGATTATTATTATTATTTGGCACATTTCTTCAGGTGATGAAGAAATGGAAATTTAGTTGCACGCTTAAATGAAAATAACTAATTTTGAACACAAAGACAAAGATAAAACAGAAACTTTCTACAGAATTAAAGTAAAATAGGCTTGACAAAGGCAATCAGAGACTATTTGGACATTTCAAAGCAAGCTGAAAAGAACAAATGGTGCTAATGCTGGAACCAGATGAACGTGATTATATTCATTAAAAATCAATAAAAGGCTGTAGCACTGGGCAAATTCGTTTTGGACACAAATTCAAAAATGTGGAACGATTTAAATGAAAAGTTTTGGGCCAACTTTGTACAGAGATCCTTATCTATTGTAATGGATAGAAAGGATTATCACAATATACAGTAATCTTATTCACGGATTAATTGAGCAATTCTCATTCAGAGATATAACTTTTAAAGGGTTGTCTGTTTTGTTTTCCAAATGGAGTTAACAAATTAGATTTAACATGTTAGTCAGTGAGCATTCAAGGTGCTGGCAGCCAGATTCTTTTTGCATTCAGACATATCAAAGCTGACTGTTTCCCCCTGTTTTCAGTCTTTATGCTAAGCTAAGCTAAGTGTTTTGCTTCACTTTTCATCTTAAATCATTAAATCTCAAGGGGAATCATTTACTTAAGTTGTGTTAACACGGAAAGTACACAATCATCTTAGGCAATCAAATTACCCTCTGGTTTGTGAGAAGGTCAAGTGTTTGAAATCAGAGCAGGTTACTTCATTTTAGTGAAGGGTTAATTTAGTATTATGTAAGCAAGAACACACAAAGAGATACCAGTGGGAGCTCTGCCAACAGTGGAACGGTTTCACTTTAAAGTCTCCTTAAGGTTTGTTATCAGTTTGCCCCAGATGCCTTTGTCTCAGTGTGAAGGTGGTAATGCCAATTCTGTGTGTGAGTGTGTTTGTGTGTGCTGGATGTTAGTGCATGTATTTACTGCTGGGAAGAAAGCATCATGGGCATGGCAAGAAACGGGAGGTGAAAAAGTAAGGAGATGGAGCAAAGACCAGGGGGTTGTAAGGAATAAGGGGAGGGAGTGCATGGTAAAGAAATAGAAGGCGCAGATGGAGAGAGGGATGTGGGGTGTGTTGGCTGCATGAAACTATAGAAGAAAGATGAAGGAGCAGATCAGAAAACAAACAGCGATAGCTACAGGGAGAATAGAGGATAGATAGGAACAGAAAAAAGGAAAGCGTGAAGGAGAGATAAAGAGAAAGAGGGAATATGACAATGTGAAAAATTAGGGGGAAAAGAGGCAGAAAGCAAGAGAAGGGATAGGATGAAAAGACAGACATAAAGAGGGAAAATGGATGGGTGAAAGAGGGGGAACGGCTTTGTAGAAGCAAATGGTTTGAGCTGATAAGACATGAAACACTTCACACTGGAGCCAAAAAGGCAGACAGGACTTGCTATGTAAGCCATTTAGCCAGCCAGTGAAAACAGGCACCCGACTGGACAGTCACCTAACTGTCTAAAACAGACACTCAGTCAGTTCAGCATTTAAAAAGTCTGACTGTCACATAATGCGTTAGCCAACCACCAAGACATTTAATTAGCCTGCGAGGCGTCCATTCAGATGGCCAGAGAGAGGCAAGCCAGGCAGTTGGTTAGTCACAGCCTGTTTTGGTCCGTCACTTGGTCAGTCAGTTCATTAATTTATTAATTACTGCAATTACACTACTACTAATCATCTATCCAGTCACATATTAGTGAGTCAGCATGATTATCTCCTAGCTATTCAGCCATAAAGAGAGCAAAGGCAGTTCAGCAGTCAGTTAACAAGTCAACCAGTGACCACTTGTCAGTCAGTCAGCCAGTCTATTAGTCACCTGTAGGTTAAACAGGTGACTAATAGCAGTCAGTCCACCAGGTAACAAACCAGCTGGCCAAAAGCGTGCATTGTTATCAGTCTAACCAATGATTCACCAGCCACACAGGCCATCAGCCAGCCAACCAGCATCCACAATACTTTTCATAAGTCACCATTTTGGCTGAACTAGTTCTATATTTCTCCAAAGCCAACATTTTCAGATGCTTGCATATTTTGTCTTCTGTTTATGTAATTCGACCTACTTTATACGATCACATAAATAATGTAGCTCCTTAATATCAATTTGCCATCTTCAGCTTTGTGTATGAGAGTCCTGCATCCTGATGAAGAGCCTTGTTGGATAGCATGCTGTACTTTTTGATAATCCATCACTCACAGAAAATAAAAAAAAATGTAAAGGCAAATTTAATTGATTCGATATATACATATTTATTCTAAAGCCAATTAAAATAAATAAGTTGTTAAAGGAGCAATTTGTATGCTGCGGTTAACTGAGGCCAAAGCAAACGCATAAACAAGAGACTGTCATATCCTCAAGGGCTATGTTACCAAGTACAGCAAGTACTTAAAGGCAAATGCCAACAGGCTTAACAATCAATCGCCATCAATCCACTTTGCTAATATAGGTTGTGTTTGTGTAAATATGTATGTATATACATGTACTTCTTATAGTGTGTGAGCTTATGTGCTTGCATTTATTAAAGGTGTTCAGGGTGGTTGTTTCGTTAGGTGTGTATGTGTATAAACTGTATATATCCCATCTAATTTCTTTCAGGATATTTATAATGCCAGTATCAGTGTAATTAAAGTAATAAAACATGTAAAGTGCAGCTACAAAGCTAGAGTGAAAGTTAAATTATAGACAATTTCAAACATTTGTAATGGTGCCATTTTAATGTGAAGTGTGGGGATCTGTTGTGCTTCAGACAAGCGCCCCTAGTGTTGAATACATTTCCATTCAGGTGTAGAGCTCTCAGAGGAGCTGAAACACGGTAGAGGACAGCTGACCGAGTAAGCATGACTGAGTAGATTTACGGAGTGACGGAGCAGAAAGATGAGGATGGAGAGAGAGTGGTATCAAAAGGTGAGGACTACGAAATGCAGGACTGACACGAAGACCTGTCCATGTATCACTCTCCTCCCACATCTTAGCTTGGAAAAAAAAGAAAAAAGCACACAGAAAAAATTTTAAAATATGGAAAAATTATACATTTTTGTGAGGTAATTTTTTCTGCGGGTGCTCTGTGGTGTTACAGGGAAGGTGGTGGTGACTGTAGTGTCCTCAGAAAGAATGAAAAGAATCTGAATTAACAGGGCTGTCTGATGGTCGGGTGATTTTGTGTGGCCAAATATCAAATCTTGACAGTGGCCACAGAATCCCTCGCAGAGCTCCCGTCCCAACTGTGGCTTTTGTCATAAAGGAAGACAGGAGCACAGTCGGTAAGGCATCCCAGTGCCTCACAGACATCTGTTCAGTCCCTCTTGGTCACTGTTGCTGTGGTAATGCAGACTAAACCACTTCTAAACATAGAAATAATAATAAAAAAAACAACAGAAAAACACATTTTCTACAAAATATACATAAAGAAAAAAGCCATAACAACAAATCATCAACAGAGCACACTGAGTCTTTGTTTGCTTTAGTCAGTCTGTCTGTCCTCTGTCTTTCCCAAGGGTTTGCGACTCAGGTGTGTGTGTGTTTCAGTCTGTTGCTCTGTCTGCAGACCCGGCATCAGTGTCGCAGCAGAGGCTTCCTCATCATCAGAGGCTGCAAAGAGGAGGAGGTGGCTGAGCTAACGTTAGCCAAGGCCTGCTGAGGTCACCATCCACAGAGAAATATGCAGGTGGGGGAGGCATGAAGGTTTAAACAAGGGGCATGGGGGTTGAAGTAATGGTAATGCAGTTAAAGACATAGTGAGAGGGAGAGTGACAGAGAAAGCGGGGATAGTGGAATAGCGGAAAGTCAGATGACAGAGAGATATGGGTGGGAGGAAATAGGGAAGGAACAAACATCGAAAAGACGTATGCAGTGATGCCAAACTCTGTGCACACTCATCTCTTTTACAACCACACAAAACGTATGTAATCAGAGACACAAGTCAAATATACATACAAATAACAACAGCCTGTGACAGTAAGGGAACATTAACATAATATACAAATATTCAAAAGAGGTTTGGTCACAGAATGACAACTTGCCTTTAAATGTATTGGATCGTGTTGATGTGTTGTTTGTATTTGCTTAACACATTGCCAGTTGAAGTGTGCATGACTAGAGGTGGGGCTGTCACTGGGGACATTTAGTCCAGCTGAATTCATCCTTCTTTTTTTTTTTTTTTACTCTCTGAGCATGTGTGGTCGTTTTCCTCTGTGCAGACCTGACTGGTTACTACCACTTCTGGCCACCGGAGGCACTGTAGACTTCAGCTGTATTATCAAATCAACATCTCTGAAAAGTTGTCCATTTATAGGTGTTTTATTAGTGTAAGTACAACTACAGATATTTTGGTCATACTTTACTTGATTTTGCTGAATGAAGCAACGTGGTTTAAAACAAAATGCTGAATTGCTGAAGCTCAAGCATCTGTGGCTTGTTTTATCTCTGGGCTGAAATTAGTCTTTTGAGTTGCTTTCACTTGCATCACTTTGCATGCCCAATTGAATTAGACTGATTGCATTTACAGGAAGGGGATGGCCACCATAAAAGGGCTGCAGATGGGTGAAGTGAAATCAAATGTAAGCAGAGGATGTGCACAAATCCACCGATTAGCCCTCCTTTATCTGTGTTTGTAGAAGAAAGAGGAATAATTATACAGGCCTGTAGACCGGTGTCTATCCGAAAGTCATTAGAAGAGACTGGACTGAGGTCACTTCTAAATAGTGATCCGAGGTCAGTTTTAGATTTGCCTACTAATGAGACATTAGTGTAATCTTCCAGCTGGACAAGTGCCACTCCCTCCTGGCTGTGCCAGTGAGTGCTCACTACAACTATAAGCGTACAGCTCATCCTGCTCCAACCTGATTTATTTATTTTCTTACATTAACTAAACTCTACCACATGACACCTGTGTTGTGTTTCATCCCCTGACTGTCTGACACTGAATGTATCCAATAATACTAACCACTAAGGGAAGTAAACTCCTGCCTCCAGCCCATGGTTCAACTCTAAATTATTTCTATGACTTGTAGTAGTTTCCACTCATTACACTAAAAGAATGGCTCCTCCTTATACCATGAACTTGATGTGTCTATAGTGTCACAAGATGGTTGTGAACCGCCGTACTACATTAGCAAAATGTCTTTAACACATTGGTCATTACTGCATCTAGTCCTATCTAACCTCCTTAATGCTGTGTTGTTTGCATTTATAGCAATTAGCATTTCCATAAACTTCCTAAATATCTGGTGGGAGCAAGGTTTTGGTAAAATTAGGTTGTAGAATTGAAAAGACTGATTGTCAGTGTTGAAGGACAGCTTCACCTAAATTTCAAACAGCCGCCAAACTATTCAGAAATGAAAGCAGTCTCAGGGTACATTACCATGATGGTTGTCACGACTACTGTCCGGTTTTCCATTGCTGAACTGTCATTGGACAGAGCATTTTCATTCTGGACCAACACAAGCTTGTCTATGTCGTTCCAGTAGCCAATCTGAGAGAAACAGTGGGACAAGAGAGAAAGCAAATGAATGATAAAAAAAAAAAAAAAATGAAATCAATCAGACCTTAAAAATTGAAAAAGCTTACAATAAAAATCAAGACGGACAAAAAAGAAATAGAACCTATATGATAGAACAGAGAGAAATATAAAGAAAGAAAAAAAAAGTCAACAGAATGAGCTCATCCCAGCAGATTTCCCATTGGAACTGTAGAAGATATTGAGAGATATTGAGTGTGAGCCAAGAACTTTCAATAAACACACATTGCTGTCAAAGGAACACTTGAGAAGCTGGAACATGGTGTTATTTCTTTATTATAGGCGCTACATGTATGCTTTTTTTTCCAGTAAAGAGAAATTATGAGTAGCTACTTTCAACCTGAGCCTTATCCTTTTTGTTATTATGAAGAAAGATTATGTTCAAACTTTCCTCACTTACATCACTGCAGAGTTTCATATACCCCCAGGTTGTCTGAGAGCTGCTCTCCAATGAACACTGCAAAAAAACTATTCAAAAACACAAGCTGCAGTGGTTCAATTGTAGTGTAAAGATATTTATAACTGCAGTAAAACACTTATTAATGAGTAATTATGGAGATAATTATGCAGTGAAGGAATTCATTTTTCAACAATCAGCCAGCATAAGTAATAAAATGAGAAAAATGCAGTAACAGTAAGTGCGTGTCATTTCAGTTGTGATTAAAACTAACTTTACTGCTTAAGAGTCACATTTTGCTGAAATTATGAAAAACATTTAACACTGCCTTTCAGCAACACAGCCTGAAAACACATCACAACAACTGAATGGAATAAGTCGGCTGTGGCATGTTTGTGTCCAACTCACAAATTCAAAGTATTGTTTACCTTTGTTTCTAAGCCATGAGGAGAGCCTACCTTGCGTGGTCCATTGCTCTTCAGTTCAAAGACGTCCATGGTATAGTTGACCCTCCGCCCGTAGTGATCAAATTGAATATTCCCAGTCAGGCCCTGAATGCGCACCTGGATTTATAACAACAATAATAGTAAGGACAAGAGAAAAATACTGTCTTTAAAGTTTAGTTTAAAGTTTAAAGTCTAGGTTGATTTGTAAACACCAATAATTCCAGTTTGTTATATGGTTTAAAATTACAGGTCTAAGAATTCTTTAGCAGTTGCTTATAAGAAATACAAATACAGATAAGCAGCAGGTGTATCTGTTCATAGTGTACCCAGACAAGCACTATTTTTTCAACAAATTTAATGTGAAGCAGCAGCAGAATGAGATTTTTGGTTTGCATTAACAGTACATTTGTGAAAAATAAAAAGTGAGGCTCAATAAGATATTACAAACAGAAACGTTGGATTACATGCACGCATCATTTCCTGCGAATCCTTCATGCTTAGGTCGGCAATCTCCAGTGCGGGAATATATATATATATTATATATATTTATATGCTCATGATTCTGTAAAATGAATGATTGAATTGTGGAGAATCTAACTGATCTTACAACGTGTATCATCGTCAAAATTTAAACATGTACTTGTGTAGACAATCTAAGCCCAAGCTTTAAGAGGTTTATACATCCAAAGAAGTTCTATAAAATCCAGACCAGGCCTCTAATTCAGACCTGCCTTTATATGTCAAACGGGTAACCACGCTAGTAAAGAAGATGTAAGTCTATTTGGGACTCTGCTTTTATTAGAAGTTTTACGGTACTTGAGAAGTGAATGAAAGTCATTACAGTGTCCCCTCAAGTATGGCAGTACAAGTTTATGTGTTACAGTAAGCATGTGTGAACTCTGGGTACTCCATCAAAGTCCCAACAAGCATTTAAAACACATAAATGTTGGCAAGGATCTCTGGAACATTTCCCCCTTTTATCATGCCAGGTGTTTTACTGACTGTGTGTGTGTGTGTGTGTGTGTGTGTGTGTGTGTGTGTGTGTGAACATCTGTCTAATCTGTCAGTGGTAAACTACACAGCATCAAACTTGTGCCAACCTGTTTGAGGGCACGCTCCATATCTATTCCTTGGTTCCAGGGAGCAGCAGGATTCGCCAGGCAGTCGCCAGCGTTGCCACGGCGACTGATATCAATTTTCTGACGGCGAAGGGTGCGGAAGGCCTCGGCCATAACAAGGACGCCATCATACGTTAGAGATGAGGTATACTGAAGAATGGAGGGACAAACAGAGAGAAACAATATATATTTTTATCAGTTTAACAAGTTTTTACACTTTTTATGAAAGAATGAAGAGTCCAAGTCAGTCCAAGTACACAGTATGGCAGAAATTAATACTCAGGTAGTGCAAAAATGTTAAAAGAGACAGAGGCATTACAGTCCCTGTTTGGAAACTGACATTGATTTTATTCAGGTTGAATTCTAGACTTAAAATAGCCCAACTGTTATTTTTTAACCAAATAAAGCTGAGGTATATCTACATCAAATTTTTTAATTATAGACTGAAAATCAGTATTTAATGTGTTTCTTATAGATTTGTTTGCGGTGGTGGATGATAAATAGTGCCTTCAAAAGAACTATTTCCACATCAGTATCCCAGTGCAGTCATTTCAAGGTTGACAACCCAAAGACATTGTAAAGCAAAATCACAGATTTTTTTCTGATGTGTTTGGTGCTTAGTGCCATGACAAAAAACATCCAAATCATCTTTTCAGTGATGGTAGCTTACTCTGCAAGACTACATGAGTTTACGTAGATACAAAACAAACAGTGTTTGAGTAGATGCTGTGATTTAAAAAGCCTAACTAGAATACTTTCATGCTGCAGGGCTATACCATAGGCCTATATGATTTATTCCCAATTTAAACTCAGACAATTACAACATCCTAACTCCATATGAACTAACCTCACCAGTATGCAAACATGCTGACCTGTGCTGTTAATTTATCTCACCGCTCTGACTTTTATTTGACTTCCACAGTTAACACTGGTGAACATCAATCAACACCACTGTAAATGTAACATCACTGTAAATGTGCCAGATTTAGACAGGCTTATAGTTTTAAGTACAGTCACTGGGCCATTAAAATGACATTGAAACGTATTTAAATCATATTGTAAATCCATTCATTAAACCCACTTTGTTGGGGGAATTCCCTTTGATACTGAAATTTAGTTTTACAAATATGGTTTCATTGGGTTATATTCTAAAAGAGGATGTATCGCTTCCGGAGTGAGTTGTTGATGTTTTAAGGGACCTTTGAAACGAGACAGCGCGTGAGACAAAGAGAAAGGGTTGGAGATTATCAGTATCTGTGGTCTAATGAAACTCTCAAAAAAGGTGGTGATCTTGACAGATTGTTTGACAAATTCATTATAGGTAAGACACAGCGCAGCAGGGAACCACACCACACATCCAACTGCAACAAACCCACCCAGCCCACACACAGACACACACAGCGGCACACAGACAGAGGCAGTCAAACACACAGCGGGCTGCCTTCACATCACGGCGGAGACAAGTGGTGATATGAAAATGGAAGGAAAGAGGGAAGTCGGCTGAGAGACTCCGCCAACGCTCTCCACGCCTGTGCAGGTAGTTTTCTCTTTTACTGACATCCCTTGATTTGTATCCCAAAAGGCGCGTTTTGGAAGGCTGCACAACCATGTCATCCTCCTTTCATCTCTCCCCTTTGAAACTTAAGAAGCCTTTAGGCGCGCGACTGACAGATGACGACTATAGAATCCAAATCGGAGCAAAGCAGAAAACAACTACAAAACTGAGCCAACTAGCGTACTGTTTTTTGTTTCTGTCAGAGGTAGGACAGAAACACCTTCGGGACACATATAAAACAGTATTGGCTTTTAAAAAAAACAAATTCTAGACGATATTTCTAGGAGCAGTTAAAATCTCCAAGTTCAGCTAAGATCCTTCAAGTAAAACCCGATTTTCTTTATAAATGTGGATTCTCAAATAGGATAAAATGTACAGGTTCATACAAGTTTACTCTACAGCTCTAGATCAAACCAAGAACCAGCTTTATAAATTATGTATACAATAAAAGAAAGCATGTGCCACTTTTCACACAGAAACTAATGTATATAAAAAATGTATGCAGTGCATTTAGAATGTACATGTCTGCATTCATGCTTTACACCAAGGCTTTTATGGGTGAACTGACCTCATGACTGAGATAAAGTAACATTGCAAGCATAAGAAGTTGTAGTCAATCTTTTTATTCATTAATTTATTCATTATTCATTTATTTTTAGCCACACTCTAGATATGGCAATGTCTGTCGGTCGGTTGGTCAGACCACCACTTTGGTCCAGACTGAAATATTTTAACAACTACTGGATGGATTGTCCTGAAATTTGGAAATGTGGACATAGTGTCCCACTGAGGATGAATTGTAACTTTTGGGATCACATAACTTAGGTAAGCCATTATCAGGTTTGACTGTGTCCAATACTTTGTTTCATCATAAAATATCTGCATACCTAATGACATTGCCCTCATCTGCAGCTGTACTTTGTGTTTAGTGCAAATGCATGCTACCATGCTAGAATATGATGATAAATATGGTAAAAATGATACTTGCAAACATCAACATGTTAGTGTAGTCAATTTGAGCATGTTAGCATGGTGATGTTTGCATGTAGGTCAAAGCAGTGCTGAGCCAAAGAACAAACTTACAGAGCTACTAGCATGGCAGTCAGTTAGTACCATATAGTACCATTATATAATGTTGTCATCCACATCATAAAGTAATATTGGAATATAGACAATGCAAATCACATAATAGATTTGGAATCAATCATCAGGCCGTTATTACTCACAACATCAGCATAAAGACACAAATGGTGATGGCACCATTAGAGGACAATGCCGGTGTCAAGCTAAGGACGGCCCACATTTGGTTTGTGTACAAAAATTTAACAGGCACCATTGTTTTGTCACCATTGTGTTATGGATAACGAAGCAAGTAGCCAATTGCCTTATGCATGCAGCTTAACAGGATAATCTATATGCAGTGATTAATAAATCCAGTGCGAACACAGCGTACACTCTTTTGCTTTTTAATGATGTTAAATAATCTCACCATAGACTGTACCACAGGGAACATAATATGGCAGAGGCGGGGTTAATGACACACTGAAAAACACAGCTCTTTCATTCATTTTTCTTGTCAAATGAGATGATAAATTGAAATGAAAAAACTGTAGTATTAAAACAATTTGGACACACATATTTAATTTATAAAATGAGCTTTGCACCCATGTCTGGAAAACCTTAAATGCTTTACACGTGGACAAATACTGATAAAGGCAGATAAAAAAGATGTTAAAAAGAGATAGATACATTGATGGAAAAAGCCCCAAAAAGTATTGTGGCTGAATTTTGATGAAGTTAATGTATTACCTTAACAGATCACTGATCTTTTTCATTACATTTCAACAAAATCTCCAGGCACACCAGCTGAGAATCACTGGGTTAAGAGATTTTGATTGATGGCCAAAAGCAGCTAACTCAAAATCCAGTCTCCAGTGCAAAACGGACAAGCCCCAATAGTAATTTTCACAGTGCACATTATTAGAGCAGAGTTCTACTGGGCCTGAGGCTACCAGTTGGCCCAAGGCTAACTGAGCTCAGTTTTTACACAGCACCAATTAGCCTAGAGCAATTTGGAGGCATCTGTTGTCACTAGAGATATCTGGTTTTGTGTTATTGTGTTAAATCATTAAAATGTCCTTGTTTGCAAAAGGCAGACTTAAAACATCATTTTTGTGGTTGCAATGGGAAGACAATCTTTGAATGCACTTCATCAAGGATGCTCATAAAGTTTTGAAAGTTAAGAACACCTGTAGTTGTAATTAATTGTATTTTGTATATCTAAGCATGTTCACATGCATAATAGGTTTACCTCCATTAACACACTAACTTGTGTTGTGTCAACGGTCAGGATCGATGGATGGGGCAACTAATGAGAATTGATCAGGTCAATCTAAGAACGATGATCGCCAATTAGTATGTTCCTTGAGTGTAAAATAACGTTCCAGTAATGTAAGAATATAACCATCGTGTATGTATGTATATATTTGCAGCCTTGAAAGACTCACAGCATCGCCTTTTTAAAGTTACTACTGTGTGTGTGTTCGACTGCTTGCGTGTAAGTGTGAGCCAAAGAGCAAGGGACAGAGAGCTGCAGCATGATGTATTTTTAATAGGTAGGTGGACATATTTCCAGTTAATGCATGCACAAATCAAACGCAATTGGCTGCAGGTCAGTACCCGGTCAATAGAGGAGTGCTGAGGGACGAGAGACGGACAAAGACAGAGATAGAAAAGAAAGGGGGAGTGGTAGAGTGGTAGTGATAGAGACAGAAAAATGTGACAGAGAAAGGGACATCGGTGGTAAGAGAAAATAGACACTAAGGATGGTGAATGGAGAGAGGAGAAGGGATATACAATCAGAGAAACAATGAGACAAACATATAAGGGATGCAACTGTGGATTTGGTTACAGAGCTGGAGACAAAGGGAGGGACAAGCATGGAGGAATATCATACAGGACAGACATGACAAAGACATCTTCAGTCTGAAGAATCAGCATTCATCACATTACAGTATGCCAGGTCACACTGATTGGTTAAGAAGCTGAACCACATGGTTCAAATGCACACATCACCCTGTGACTGCCTGTTTGAAGAGGCTGCATAATTGGCGCCTGTGGTGAATTTCAGGTACGAAACACACCGATGCCATCACCCCTAAATTGTGTGTGTGTGTGTGTGTGTGTGTGTGTGTGTGCACTGTAAATATCTGTGTGTATCTGTCCGCAAGTTAATCTCTCACAAGCTTTAGTTACATTTCTGCTGCTGAGGAAAACATCCTTTTGAAAACAAGATCCACTATTGCAAATCTTTCAAATTTGTTCACGTAGTGCCAGATGTTTACAATCTATATATCTATGTATGTCTATGTATAGACAGCATATTTTTATCACCTTAGGTGGACTTTCAGATCCAGGATACTCTCTCTGATCCAGTTTGTTCCAGCGCTGCATCAGTTTAATGACGATGGGCCTGCTGAAGTCCACCAGTTGGAAACCAGTCACATTGGCCCCGCCATGCATGAACCTCTCAAGAGATATGTCCTTAAAACCCTGAGAGAAAGGAAGGAAGAAGAAAACATTATGCAATCCCAGAAAAATACTCCAAAACCAGTTACAGGAGAGTGGAAGTGGACTACAAAACCCTCTGATGGAATCTGTGCACCTTTGCTGACATATCATACTCCAACATACTCCAACAGTCTACCTGATTATTTATACCCCTACTTAATATGGAGTGGCTTCCACAGCTGCGAGTGTGACTTCACACAGAGTGACACTTTGTACTGAAGTGGTCGTGGAGAGGGATCCATTTGGGAACGGGCCAGAGACAGAGGTAGAGAGTAAAGACATGTGAGGGTTATCCTGGGTTGATGGATGCTAATTGCTAAAAGCTCTGAGAGCCTATCTAACTTGACCTGCTCTCAGTGGCCCCTTTTTCAATGTCCCGGAGAGAAATGCTGTGGAACAGATTTTAGGGATTAAGGTTGAGGCAATACATCATTTACTGATGTGAGTTCCAGCAGCTACCTGACTTTGTTGAGGAGACACAGATGATAATATACTAATTCTGAAAGAAAAATGGCACCTTGGTGGGAATATTAAAAGATCAATGTGGAACTGGCAAGCATGGTTTGTTTTCTCTGCTAATAACTGCAGAAAAAACAACAACCTTGAGACAAGCTGAATGTCAAAGTAGGGGTAAGTAAAACATAATGTTGGCTTACAGGACTTACGCTGCACATACACTGTTAGATTTTTGAAACGTTGCATCCTGGAGCTCTTTAGAAAAGACCAACTTTCTCCTTGGCATGAAAGCTAACCTTTAGCATTCTGACAGGTTCTGTCAGAAAGAGTCACAGTATATTATGCTTATCTATGTATTATAAGCTAGCAACAGCGTTGACAACGAGACATTGATTGATTGACACACATTTTTTATGTTTTTATATTGGGTTAGGTAATAGACATCACAGGAAATGATAAACGTCTATGTAAACAATAAAAACAAATATAATAGTATAATCATTATGTTAATTATAGTGAAAACTGAGACAATGTTGAAAAAACCAGGACATTTTAGTGTTTTACAGATATTTGTCAGGACTTGGGGCACCCAGATTGAAACCAGGACAATCCCGGACAAACTGGGACGTCTGGTTGCCGTAGACATGTCAGAAACATTCACCTCCACCTCATGTACACTGCACGGCAAATGACGCCAGATGAAGCTTAAGTTTGTGAAACTCTAGAATGAGTTGTGTAGCACAAAAATCTGATCCAAAATGGGCTCAAATTGTACACTGTATGCCCAGCGTTAGACACCCTATTTTTAAGACCTCATCTTGATAATTTTTGTGTCCATTTGTCAAATAGCCTTCCTTCTTGTCTCTTATTAAAAGGAAATTATTCTCGTGTAGGCAATCAAAACACAAACACGCTACTAAAACAGCCAACGGCAATGCCATTAAGAGTTCTTACCAGATTTGCTATGATGTAATGGTAACCTTTTACATGTTTCCCCACACTGACAGCCTGGAAAGAAAAACAGAGAGAGAGAAAAAACATTATTTCTTTGCTACTGGCTATGCATGAATTGTGCGGCAAAGCAGGGGACGTGTGGGATTCACAATTAACATACTAGTAATTGAGTTACTTGACAAGAGAACTAACAGTTGTTTTAATTTAGTTTTAGGGAGCAGCGGAGGGGAGTCAAACTATAAACAGAGACTCCCTCCCATCTGTGAATCTTTCGCCTCACCCAGCAGTGGCTGTGGATACTATCATATTCTGATTAAAAGCAGAGGGAGTGAGTGTGTGAGGACTTCACTTGTCCTCTGCACCATACTGCCTCAGACTCTGCAGCATCTTGGAACATTTAGAGAGTTTACGCCTGTAGCAGGGCTCTGTTAACTTGGATTATTTAACTTGTTTTGGTAATATTAATGAGGTGCCTTGATCCAACAGTGACAGGTTACCAATCTTTCCTTACAAGAATTACATTCACATTTTGTTTTAGCAAAATATAGTTTGGGGAACTGTAATGTTAACTGGTTTACTTAAAAACATTCCTACAGAAACATATCGGCAAAACATTTTTAGCCGATATGTTAAGTGTGAACAAAAACACATTTTTCAATGTTTTCAGCTTTTCCTACAACATCAATTTATTGCTACTAAAGCAGATTAAGATATGGTTGAGGCAACTAAAACTGCAAATTCTAGTCCGTCAAAATCAATGTATACCAGCTTGACCTCAACACCTTTTCTTCCACACTTCATGTACTATCAATACATATTTCCAGTGAACAGAAATGACTACTGACTGACGGTCTGTCTGGTGTGTTTGTGTGAGACTGCAGGGCTGACAGTTAGTCAGACAAAAGTAAAAACTGAAATCTGTTTTATGTTTTGTCATTGTTATATCTGTACAGCTGGATGAGGTGAAATATGGCACATTGTGAGATTTCAAGAAGAAAGACGCATCTTCATATTGACATGGTGCATAAACCTAATTAACAAATTGTTCTCTTTTTTTAATTCTGTCTCTCTCATCCACACATACCAACAGCTATATACAAACGCAGACAGATGCACACACACATACACAGATCGCAGCTGGCAGGGGCAGACAAACAGAGCAGTCTCTGTCTCAGAGCAGGGATGCTAGCCAATGCCAGCATTGCAGAGCCCACTGTGACGGGAGTGTGTGTTTGTGTCTGTATGCCTGTCTCACTATACACTAGAGTGTGTGTGTGTGTGTCTCTGTCTGTCTGTCTGTTGACACACCACAGAAGCCAATTAAGAAGTTGTCTGTCTGTCTTTCTGTCTGGGATGCTGCTACTGGTGTATGTTTGTATGTGTGCGAGTAGCTGTGCGAGTATGTATGTGGTGTACGTTTGATTGCCTGTAGCATGAATTATGCACTGGTATGTATTTTAAAGATAAGCTTGCATGTGTGTGTATATGCATGAGTGTTTAGCTGTGTGTGTCATTGAGTTTGTCAGATGTGCAGACAGAGGATCAGATGTGATGACAGGTGGCAGAACCAATGGGATGTTACACTGAAACCTGAGTCAAAGGGCACACACACACACACACACACACACACACACACACACACACACACACAACAGACACACCACCTGTCAGAGCTCAACCATCAAGCAAGACAGATAATCTAATGAACTTGGACAAGCGTAAGGTGTCAGAGTGTGCGCCTTCATATACAGTATGTGTTTGTGTGTGTGTGTGTGTGTGTGTGTGTGTGTGTGTGTGTGTGATGGAAATCTGTATCTGAGTGGACAGTATGGGGCGTTTACTGCAGTCACACACTGATGTAGCTGTTGGGGAAGTCACATTTTTCTCCCCACATTAACTCCAGGGAAAAACTAAAATCTTGTTTTCTTTCCAGATGTCAAAAAGCATAAGGAGCGCTGTTGCAACAAGCTGAGTGAAGCAGACAGCAGGCAGACAGCCACCAGTGCAGCGAACAAATAAAAAATATAGATACTACAATTTGTAATGTAATACTTATTTGAATTGTCATAAAGGTTCTCGTTTTAATTACTTTACAAAATAGCTTACCCTGTGCTGTGTTGACTGTGGTTTCAGGTGGCAATAATGTGTCATTGTGTTGTGATTGTACTTCATTATTAAGTGTTAAGTGCTGTTAAGTCCAGGTCAATGAAGTAATCTCTGCCCTGTCTGCAGTAATCTCAGTGATAGTAACCGTGCCACATAAAGGTATAGCATCGCCTCCAATAAAGCAGTATCTCATGATCTGAAATGCTGTAGGGCCCCTCAGGTGCCAGATCAGTGTCAAATATCATTTTGTGCCTGCAGTAAGCTGATAGTGATTTATTCTTTTAATCTTGTGAGTCCCAGCTACGGACTTTAGTGTTTAGTAATGCAGTAATTTGTTATTTTTTATACGATAAATTATGAGCCAGATGGGTTTACATGTCTGCTCACTTTGCTGACTGCAGTGCCACTATGCTCTTATAATACAGTGCTCTTATAATACAAGGTTACCTTTGTAAGAAAATTTGGTATAGTAATATTACCTGTTCTAGGATGCTCTGTAGTCTCTCAGGCTCCAGGTCAATGACATATTTCCTCTCTTGACGCCGGTCCAGGTCCTCTAAGAGTCGGCGGTATGCTGCCTCATTGAAACTCTCCACACAGATAGCGCTCACCTGAATTAACATACATGCATATTCACAAGAAAAGTGTAAACGCATACAAACACAAGTAGCATGTAGCAATATGATCATGTAACCACAAGCAGGTTAACAACTGTTCTGGAAGAAATAAGGATGTAAGTATGTGTATGCACTGTGTGTGTACAATTCTTTTGGCATGTTTCCAGGAACGTGTGTGTTTGTGTGTGTATCCTGACCTGCCAGCCGTTCTGCCCCGCTCTCTCCATAATTGCCTGCAGTATTGCATAACCTAGACAACAGAGAGAATGGAAAGGAAAGAAGAGAAAGAGAGAATTAACGCTGTAAGAGGTGGAAGCCCCCGTAGCTGGTACATGGAGTAATTATTTTTAGCAATATTTGCAGGTGAAATTTAAAGCCAAAAAGTCATACCGGTATTACAAAATATTTTATTTGATCTCAATTACCACAATGTGTTTGCACAAAATTTGAATGTCTTGTCTTCAATCATGGCGTAAAACACGTGAATGGTCCTCTCTTAAATGTCATTTAATCAAACCAACCCACAGAGCTCAGAACGGGACAAAGTTGTTACGTGCCAATAGAGACGGTCAGTTTCATTGATAGTGACATTTCACTGAAATTAAACTTCTCATTGCTTCTTGTTCAGTATTGAACTTTGATTCAACTCACTGGAGAACACACTGACACTCAATTTCATTGCCTGGAACAAAACACAGAATTTTTTTTTTCTACAATATGATGGATTGCAGTTGTGAATAGTCTGAATACACCCGTGGGGTAAGTGGGATATTAGATGAGCATTAACGTTAATATGAGCCTATGAGCAGCAGGTGGCAACATCAGTGACAATGAATGACAGTACATTACATCGAACAGCTGTCTCGATGGGTCAAAACACGTAGAAAAATCCTTAAATAATCCTTTATAGGGCTGCCCCCAACTAAAGACTTTCTTGGTTGACTAGCAGTCGCTAAATAAAGCATATATTCGACTAGTCGTAGGACATTTACAATATAATGCATTAAAGCAGTAATGAATCTGTCAGAGCAACCAGCAAGGAGATTTCAACACAGTATAACATCACACAAGTCTTGTTGTTCAAAACACGACTTCCAACTTCACTAAAACAAATACTTACTTACAAATTAACATTAACTCTACAGACTTGTTCCTATTCCTTAGTTTGATGCCTCTCCTGTGGCTGCCTGAACCCGCCGTGTTTCCCCCCCAGAGCCATAATAGTCCTGTTGGGAGCCGCTGTAAATCGGCTGGCCTCCATTGGCCCGTTCCGCTCCGGTTCTGACGCTCACTCCGTCCACGCTCCTTAACAGTAGTCACCGCTGTGTCCCTCTGCTCCTACGGTAGTAACTCCCCCTTTCTTTTGAGCTCCCAGTCTGGGTATAGTCAGCTAATAGGATGGCTAACTCACCTAAGAAAATATCCATGTTGCAACAATTCCCTGATACTTTTGTTTTTGTTTTTATGCGATGTGATGAAAAGCGCATCAACTAAGACTCTTCTCAGCCACTATCGCTTAAGTTGATTATTAGGGGGCAGCCCTAATCCTTTATAATATTGTCATACAGCTAAAGGATTTCTATCAAAATGATCATTGTACTCTCTATCAAATCTCCAAATATGTGTTTAACTCTGCTCCGGGAATTGGGTAAAACAAAAATATCTCCCCAGTCTCATACGTGCACAGAAAGAAAACACAGAGCATATGTCGGCATGAAACACAGTGACATGAATAGTCACACACACAGACACACACACACAAACCCAAACACACACACACACACACACACACACACACACACACACACACTGCAGTGCAACCGTGCCAACTGTCACCCTGTTTTTTTCTACTTTTGTGGAGGCAGCTATTTACTGCTTGAGTTGAAACAAAAAGCACATCTGAACCCTCAGTAATCACGGTGTGTATGTGTGGGAATGTGTGTGTATTATTGTGGTTACGTTGCAGAGCAGTGGAGTTTGTCTTTACGTGTGGTGTGAGATTGTGCTTTCACCTCTCAGCCTCACAAGTGATACTGTAAATAAATGTTTCTGTGCCCTAAATGAATGCATTTGTGTTTAGGGGTTGCACTTGTCTATGAGTTGTTTTATGTGTACATGTTTTGTTTTTACTGTCTAACTTAATGTAATGCACGCACAGATGCACAACCATTCATCTACTGTGTGTGTACAGTATTTATGCACTACTTGGTAGGTGTGTGTACTCATTTGTCTTTGTATGCAGGTTTGTGGAAATACCTTAGTTTGTGTGTGCGTGTGTGTGTGTGTGTGTGTGTGTGTGTGTGTGAGTGTGTCTGCAGGCTGTCTGTGGAGCAGAGCAGAGCAGGAAGCATAAAACAGATCACAGCGTTACCACACATTTTCCAGCACATTACCGGCAGCAGTGCCTGATGGGAGCCTATAATGAAGGGCCCTGCCTTGGTCAAGTCAAGGGTGAGCACAGCCCAAACTCTACGCATCCATCCTCCGCTCCATTTCTCCCTCCTTTCACCCCCTCCTCCTGTTATATGCTACTGTATATCCCCAGAGGCTTGTGATCCTGTCTGTCCCGTACTCCTCCTTTCTGTAATCTCCCCCTTGCCTCCCTCCACCACATCTCTACTGTCCCCTCTTCCTGTCTCTTCCCCCGTCACCTTGTTTGCCTCCTCCTTTTCTCGCACCTGTCTTTTCTACTTCCTCTCTTTTCAGCTGCTCCACCAGCAATACTCACCTCACCTGCTCCGCCGCCCCCCCCTCCTCATTCTCCCTCTGCTCCCCCCTGGGTACTCACTCAGACAACCTGGACCAGAGGGAGGCTGGCAGAGGCACCGACAGAGCACACACAACTACACACATACACACACACTGTTCAGCTCACTGATTCCCTAACACGCCACTATACTGTGGTCTGGGGACTCTGCGTCATGTTTGACCTGTGTTTCTCTCCCTCTGGCAGGGAATTAGTCTGTGTGTGTGTGTGTGTGTGTGTGTGTGTGTGTGTGTGTGTGTAGGTGTGTGTGTGTGTGTGTGTGTGTGTGTGTGTTTATGTGTTTGTGTGAGAGGGAGAGATAACGTGCCAAGCATTCCCATGACAGTGGTTAGGGGCCGAAGGCGTCAGCTGTGCCTGCTCCACTAACTTACGTGCACTGCATGATGGGATGGTTAAATTAAAGGCAGGTGAACGTTGCAAGAGTCGATGCCAAACCCTAGTTTCTGGCTGAAAAGTACCAAATTAAACCCTTGTTTCTGCAGCTGTATCCTTTCATCAGGATCCAGAAGAACAGCCTTTGTTCTTTTTCCACAAGAAAACAAGGCTAAATTTGGGATTTAAATTAAGGCCAAATAATATTAGGCAAATAGACTTTTAAAAGTATCATTATGAGTTGATGATATTATAATATTGTTCTCAGTCTGCCATGCCAAACTGAACTCAAATTAATGGATAATTCTTTGTGCATAAAAGTGTGTTTGGAACCAGAATAATTAGGAAATCTATTTTAATCTTCCATAACTGAGTTTTTAATTTAAGCCCAGATAAAGAAGACAAGACATCTATCCAGTTAGTTTCTTGTTATCACCGCAGAGCGTATGAATGTCTGGCGGTGCCATAAGGACACAATGCTGCTCCAGTCACATTCATTTGGATAGTTCTAGTATAAAGTGAATGTTGACTATAATACTGAGTTACAACCCTTTTTTGCATACTTTCCCCAAATCCCTCTCTGACCTTTCTCTTTAAAACCAACAAGGAAAGAAAATGTAGTGAAAAACAGAGGTTGATAGTACTTTAACATCACTGGAGTCATACAGTTCCCTCCCCCAATCCCTGAACCCAGTGACTATTAATGACTAATGTATTTTTTATTTTATACTCTTAGATCACCTACAAGGCCCAACAATAAAACAATAATACTGAGTAAATAATTGATTCCCTGGATGTTTATACTTGTTCATATGGAAACCACCTTCAAAACCCTATACTATACAGATATATATGTATATATATACTGTATGTATGTATGTATAGGGTTTTGAATAATAAATAATAAAAAATATTTTTAAAATAACTTTACGGCAATAATACTGGGTGATTTTGGAACACTGGCTCTTCATATACCTAGTTAATGTGTATGTCCCTGTGCATTTACCTCTGTCTGTGTCATAGAGGAAGACAAATCGGCTCCAGTCGTAGTGGTCCAACAGTGACAGTAAAGCCCCTCTGATGGATGGCCGGAGCTGCAGGGTGAACTGGCCCTCTCCTTCAGTGGGGAAGCTGGGCGTCACTAGGCTGATGTGCAGGGCCCCACAGAACGATGTCAGCGTATTCACTGAGCGCTTGTCGTAAAGGCCAAAGATGGCGAAGACCCCTCTCGAATACTGAGAACAGACTGATGTGAGGAAGAAGGGGGAAAAAAGAGGGTTAATGGAGAAAAACACAAATACAGAGTATACGCTGTTTGTGAGAGCTTTGCTATGATTTTAATGAACGGAGTAGAAAAATAGCAAATAAGAGGTTGGGACAGAGAAATACAAAAGGTTCTTAATTCAATTCACACTGTGGAATCTGGTTAAACATGTCAAACATTTTAATGAGCGGCGGCTACGGCTTGTGTCAGCTACACCTTCTCACTCCCAATTAAACCCACAAACTGCGCTCTTTCAGTGTGTGTGTGTGTGTGAGCATCCAAAAATGTGACAAAAAATCCAATGAAACGGAGATAAATCTTGAAAAAGTATCAGTTTGAAGAAGGCTTGTTGAGTGTGACCCCTAAAAAATCCAAACTTTTATTTTATCCAGAAGAACATTAGACATATTTGCAATCCTTTTTTGCCAGATTTTATAAACATATAGTTGTAAAGTATGAGCACACACACTTGCACGTACATGGATGGAAATCAAACTACCCTACAAGCCCCTAGCAAGCAATTTTCAAATTTTCTGACTCGCACAAAATCATTCCCACTAGCCAAAACTGGCACGGCTACTTATACAGTTGTTAAGGAAATTACAGTCAAATAATCCCACCTGCTTAGAGCTTAAAATCCTTAAGATCCATCCATGCACGCACACACACACACACAGATACAAAACCCTTGACCGAGCCGGGAGCTCACTTCAAATGTGAAGTCATTTTCCACTACAACACTGCAACTCAGTCTTCAAACACCCCAAAGCTTTGAACCGTGACAGAGAGGAGAGTGAAAAGCACTGACGTCCTCGGCTATCTCACTTCCACAAAAATCTCTCCTCTGCTTCAGTTTGTCGTTCATCCGTGTGCCTCAACCAAAAGTGTGTTTGAACAAAACAAAACAAAACAAAACAAAAAAAGCTCTTGGGTGTGTGAATCAGAGTCTTGCATATTATTACAGGCGCACGAGCATGTGCTTCCCTTTCTAAGGATTTCAGCGAGTTAAGTGCGTGTCAACTCTTTTTTTCTTTTTACACTCTTTAATGTTTCCCTTTATCTGCCCCTTTTTCTCTTTCATCCTTTTTTCATCCCCTCCTCTCTCTCTTTAGCCCCGTTCATCCTTTCAGCTAGATTCTTTCAGGCTGGCATGTTTTGAGCTTGAGCTCTATCCTGCGTCATAATTCACTCTCCACCCTGTAATACGTCACACTAGAGTAAACAGTAAGGTGGGGGGGGGGGGACTGCAGAGTTTGCTTTTGGCAACAACCAGCAATCACTCTGTAACCTTTTCTCTCTTTCCCCCTCTTTTGATCACCTTGTGCATCACTTCATCGCATACCTTCTCCTCTCTCTCGGACACTGCATCCATCCCCTCTCCTTTTGGCTTCCACCATCCACTCTCCTTCATCTCTTCTCTCCCTCTCTTCCTTGATGACTGCCTCCTCTTTCTGTTCCTCCCTCTCTCCCTCCTCCTGGGACTCAGAGTAATTCCATTATCAGCTATAAGCCTCAGTGGGGGTAAACACTGAGGGAGATGCAGCTTTGACGGTTCGGCTTGTGGCAATTAAACAAAGCCAAGGCCCCTGCACCCAGGAGGCGATAAGGCAGGGATTTAGTCTCCGATTATGACAGGAGCTAAATGTCTTCAATTCAGAGAACTAGCATACTACGTACTAAGCATGCGTCATTCAGCAGGAGCTGAGTCATGGCGTCCTCAAAGTCAACGGACTTAGTGTCTTCCAAGATGATTTTTTTTAATGGTATTTTCAGGTTTTATTCGTTACTTCAGAGCACTCAGCAACGTCGAAAGATGGTTATAGAGATGAGACTGTGTGTGATAAACTACCGGGACACCAGAACAGTTAAGTACCTGGAATGGACGATGATGTTTAAGCTAAATCATTCAAGTTGACTTTATTAATTGCTCACAAGATAAGAGCATATGTTCATCTAAAATCTATAGTGAAATGACAAGGATTTAAGCAGACTGCAAGCAGAGACAGTTTGTTAACGCGTGCGCATATATTGAGATTGAAACTCGCGGAGGAAGTATCACTTGCCGTTCATTCAGGATGGCAGCTTACTGATGAAAAATGGCTTTTGGCTGAGAGAAATCATGTCCTTACACTGTCTGAGGACAAAAGAAATCCAACATACAATTGAATTTCTTTGACAGCAGAGTCACGGCAAATGTCATTCCCTTGCTTTTAAATACATTTGTGTTTTTTGGGATCAGCTGTTTTTGGGAACAGAGCAAAAACAGAAAAGCAGCAGAACAAAAAGAAAACGCTGCACACGTTCCCATGCCAACTGATGAGGTTTTTTTTAGAAAGTTGACTAAAACTACTGGCCTAGATGCAAGTTTGTGACATCATTGTCTGCAATTTTATTTTTCACCCACCTCCTGGGTCTCCATCAAAACTTAAGGAAATATTGATAGCCGTAATCCCCAAACCACTCCATTTTTAAACAATACCAAGACATCTGCAACCGTACAGACACACAGGCCCAGAGCACATAACAAAAACCTCTATGCATGTCTCATTCTTCATTCATCCAGTCTCTATCTGTTTTTCTCTCCCATCCATCACCTCCTCATTCCCTTGTTCCCTTATTTTCTATCCATGCCTTCTGATCCATGGCTTTGCCTCTCTGACACTCTCATACTCTCATTCTCCCATGTTTCCCTTTCTGATGTATGTCTCCATGGGCTTGTTTCTCTGCCACCCCCTCCTCCACCACCACCACCACCACCACCTTCGCCGCAAGGCTGGAATGTGCCAGACAGTGGCGTCATTGTAATAAAATGTGTGCTAAGCTTGCTTCATAAAGCTTTAATGAGAGGAGGGTACCAGCGGCACGGTGCATCATCACCACAGTAAAAGCATCGGACACAATAGGTCTCCTGGGACTCCCTCTACCTCTACCTCTCGTTGCCTCCCCCATTGCTTGTTCTCTCAGCATCTCCATATGTTCGATTTTTTTTGTGTACAATCTCCTGTCTTTTTTTTGGTTCTTAATTGCTCGCCCCCTCTGTCAAACTAGTCTCTCTTTCTCTGTGAAGACCTCTCCATAAATCTCTTTAAAACATTCCTCCTTTAGCTGCATTACTCCATACCGTATATCAAGCCTCAGCATCCTTGCATCTTCCCCTGCAGCTATCCCAGCCTCGCTCTGATTCATTTCATTTGTGTCTCCGTGCATTTAGAAAGCCCTCTCAATCATGCGCGTACTGTTTGTTTTCTGTCGTACTTTATTCCCCGTTTTTCAAACTCAAATTTATATTGAATTATTGTAATGCACAACAGGGTAGGAAATGTATTGCTTAAGCAGTACAATACTTTACAGGTGAATAGCTTAGCTTTCTTAGCTTCTCTGGTAGTGTTTTCTCTGTGTTTGCTCTCTCCCATATTTCTCCCTTCCTCCATCTTTCTTTACCTCTCTCAGCAGCACAGTGCTTATGTCTTTAGACCGGCCACTTGTTTGTATTTCACATGACAGCAAGAACAGATGCTCACAGATAAACCTGCTACTGATTTCACTGTCACTGCACTACGGCACAACATAAAAAGTAACACTCACATACAGAGACACATAGTCACCTATGCGCATTTTGAACACACAAAAGCATATACCACATCTCCCAACACTTGTACAACTTTCCGACTTTCTGTCCTGAGGCTGAAGTTGCTTACCACCCATTAGTCTGAATAACAACCCTCGGGCTGCAGAGACATTCTCCAGACAGCCAAAGAAACACTGCAAAAACACTGTGAGCTCTCATTACTTGCAGGTAAAGGCCAAGATAAAGGAAGCACCTGAGTAAATGAGCAATACAAACCATACGGTGTATTTTTCCTGGTATTGCCCGGGGTTACCTACAGTGCAGCATAGTGATACCTAGAGTGTGAGGGAAGGTAAATGCCAATAATAAGCTTTTGTGAGCTATATAATTAGAGAGAAATCTACCGCTCAATGCCTTACACTGACATTTACCATTTAAGCCATTTACAGTAGCATCCTTAAGAGAGATAAGCTCCTGGTTCTGCTCTGTTTCAGCACTGCGTGAGTTCTTTTTGCAGAGGAAAGTGAAGAGTGGAGCATCCTGCAGCAAGCAGTGGAGTTTCTACAAAGACTGAAGCTCTAATCCAGACTGACACAACTAGTTCATAGTGGAGAATAAATTAACACTCCTGATCAGTTAACATACTGAAAAAGTATGAAGTGCAAAGAATAAAAAGTTCAGTTGAAATTTAGGTTTGCTCCTATCTTTGCCTCCTACCTTTAAATCCTTGAGTACTTGAATTTCCCTCGGGATAAATAAAGTATCTATCTATCTCTCTATCGATCTAAATCCGTAACTGAGTATTTTATTGAGGCTTTTAATAGTTATTCCATTTCCAAAAGAGTCATATCAAAAGTTTCATATGCTAAATGAGTAACTTAAGCTTTTACTTCAGGTACTTGGAAAAACTTTTTATCCATTCAACTAAGGATCTGAAGCGTTTCCATTTTGTGTAAGTAAACAGAGTATAAACAGTTACAATGTATGAACAACAATAATATGATAATATAATATCATATTATGACATGACAATATTATGAACACGTATTCAAACCCATATGGGAAATATTAGGCTACTTATCTAAATCTTATTAAAGCTGATAATTGTTTAACGCTATTATATTGTCCTCACAATGAGTTGACTTTAAGCTAGCACAGCTAACAAAGCAATAAACAGACCTTTCTGGTTCTTTAATTTCCAAACTGTAAAACATCAAACCAACACACATTAAAGGCCTACGAACACCATTTAAGGCTCCAACTTTTTGAAACAAAAAGTGCTGAGTCACACGACAAGCAGTGCTAATTACCAACTTACAGCTAAGCTAGGTGACAATTAGCTCAATTTGTGACTCAATTTGCAGCAAAACAAAAGTACAGCTATTTATTCAGCATACCGTATCTAAAATTTGAT